CAATGCCATCCCCCCGCAGCAATGCCATGTCCTGCAGCAATGCCATCCCCCCCCGGCAATGCCCCCGCAGGCGCTTGTGAACCAGCCACCGGCTTCACGCTCACCCTCCGCAGCGCGAGGTCCAGGCACCCTCCAACCCACAGAGGAGACCATGCAGGGGCAGAGTCATCTCCCTGCCCACCCACGTTTGCTCCAGAAGATGACAGCTTTTTGAGATAAGCACACCAAACACACCTCTGTGCAACTTTTTCCCCGCTCCGGGAATAACTCACCGTATCGCAGGGGAAGCTGCTCCTCGGCTGCCTCTTTGAGCTGCATCTGCGCCACCCGCTCCTTCACCCCCCCTCGCTTGGAGCTGAAGAGGAACCCCAGGCTGACGTCGTCGAAGCAGGCGATGCTGGGCACGATGGTGAGCCAGTTGAGGAAACTCAGGTTTCCACTTATGATCAGAAGCACCTAAATGGGAAAGAAGGCAGCAGAGGGTGTTGCATCTGCTTAAATGACAACAGAAAAGTGTGGTGAAGGAAATGCTGGATGGATTTTCGCACCCTAGCACGTACTTTGCTGATTTTCCATGATTGCAACAGTGATGGCGGCAAACTTCTCCCCTCCCTGCCCAGGCTACAGCCCAAATGTACCCCACTGGCTCGCAACGCGAGCTCTGCCCTTGCTTTCAGCAGCGGAAAGATCAGCCAGGGTATAGTGTGACTTGATTTCCATAGTGCTCCCGCTGACGGGTGCAGCGGTTTGGCCCCAGGGGAATCGTCTGCTTCCTGCTTATGCCGACGTATCTGTGACAGCCACATTCCTGAAACCCTTCAGGAGGAAATATTGGACCTTCTAATTAAAGAGCAGCATTAAATATAGAAGTGTGCATTTTTTTAAGAGGCATTTTCTTTAATTTTAGCTTTTATTGGCCGTTGAGGAGAATGTCTTGCATGTGTAAGGCAGAGAAAGTGGAAAAATCTGCAAGCCTTCGGAGGAGTCTCCGTAAATATTTGTACACATTGGGAAGAGCTTTTTGTAGGCACGTGTTATTTTTTGTCTCGCTCTTGAAAAATGCGTGACTTGAAAAATATGAGGAACTTCCTTGCAGTTCTCCAGCAAGTCCTCAGGCAGCCGCGCTCGGGCACTGCCCGTTTAGCCTTGGTCATGAATCGCAGCTGTAAGACGTCACTTCCTCGCCACGTTCATACGTCAGCCGTGGGGAAGGTGCAGGTACACCCCTGCTCAAGGTACGCGCCAACCCCCCGCCAGAGCTTTTCATTAGAGCTTCACATAAACCCGAATGCACAGAGCAATTTCTGCTTCCTCACAAGCATTGGTTTTAATTTCTATTTTTCCAGCCTAAATTTATTAAAGCCCAGCCTATACTTACTCTTTTTTTCTAAGCCAGTATTTTACCTGTTCATAGACCCCCGTTTTATTTATACAGTTACATCCCTTCTCCTCCTTTATACTTTCAAGCAAACCAAACCACTCCGGTCTCCTCTCCCGCAGGACTTCCCTGCCTGCTTATCCCAGCAGCCATGCCCTCAACCCGAGCAAGGTTCAATCAATCTTTCTGGGTGCTGACAAGGACCGTAAGGAGGATATCAGACAGGTCTCACCAGGAACTTGTACAGCGATGCTGCCATTTCTCAGGCTCAACCAGAACTACCCCTAAGCAAACCAAACCACTCCGGTCTCCTCTCCCGCAGGACTTCCCTGCGTGCTTATCCCAGCAGCCATGCCCTCAACCCGAGCAAGGTTCAATCAATCTTTCTGGGTGCTGACAAGGACCGTAAGGAGGATATCAGACAGGTCTCACCAGGAACTTGTACAGCGATGCTGCCATTTCTCAGGCTCAGCCAGAACTACCCCTCCCACTGTGTTTTAATGCTGCATTTATCTTCTCCGCCCGGGTGTCACGTTAGTGCTGGCCAGCCCGTGCACACAAGTCCCCCTACACATAAGCAGTTTCCAAATACGTAGTTGCCGGCATCACACAGATGTCTCTGCTCCTAACCCACGGCGCATCATCCCGCGTGTCGCACAGCCTAATTCCATCCTATCTGCTCATTAACCTTTGGAAGGCAGGAGGCTGGGCTGCACCGACACCACCAAGGACGCTGAGAACTGACGGACTCAAAAATGCATTGCTTTGCTTTCATACACAATGTGGTTTTTAACCGAAAGCAGCCAAAGCATTTAATTGCTCCATGTTTCATCTGAGGGGGGACTGCTGCCAGCTCAACCTTGCTGACACCAAGACTTACACCAGATGCAGAACGGACGTTGTGAACTTGCTCCAGTGCCAGCAAAACGACGTGTCAAACGAAGCCAACCCCAGGGCGGAGGCCGTGAAGACACATTTGGGTTTCCCTGGGGCTGCCCAGCCATCGCAGGTCCCAAAGGAACGTGTTAGGAGCCATTTAGTATGTTGGCATAAAACAATATATGGGAATCCATGCACACAAAGACAAGAAGAGAAAAACAGTCGATACCTGTTCGGGACTATTTGAATTTTGAGGCTGATTTGGATTCTCGTCCCATTAGTCACATTACTTAGGGTTTAGCCCTAACTAACTAGCTGTTCCTCAGACACGTTAAAAAAAAAAAGAGGAGGAAAAAAGGGAAGAAAAGAAAGTAGTCTCACCATCTCATCCATAAAAAATGATGGTTATAAAGCTGACTTAATGTATTACACGTTGAAAAATAATGCCCTGATGTAACAAAGTCATTTATTTTTCAGCCTTCAGACCAGCTAATGAGAACTTCCCCCACCTTCCAGCTGGGTTGAAAGCTGTAACCTTGATTGGCACCACTATTACCTTATTTAAAGAACACTCCTCCATTCACGCAGCTGAACTTTATCCTCCCATGAACTGTTTACTCACAATTTTTAGCGCATGTGGCCAAGGAAGACTTTCAAGACAGTGCAAGACCAAACATGCGAACCCACGACACCCTCCAGCATCCCACCGCAGGCGGAGGAGCTGGAACGAGGACCACACTCCTGCCAAATTAGCCTCAGCCCCCTCACTGGCCCACCACTGGTCTCGCCAAATTAGCCTCAGCCCCCTCACTGGCCTACCACTGGTCTCCTTTCAGTGAACAAGCGACAAAGCTTTCAGAAACCCTGAGGAGATGCAGAAGCTGAAGGACCCACCACAGACCCAAGAGGCACAGCTGAAGTTCTCCGTTGCTCCTCCAGCCCACGTTGCAGCCAAAGACAGCGGGTCTCTGGAGGAAACCCAGCTGCCTTCGAGAGCCGACTCAAGTCAAACACAAGCAGACTCCTTGGGAGCTGGAGACCATCACAGGCTTCCCACTCCCACGGCAAAGCACACCTTTGGGTCTGCCTTCTCCAACATACACAAAAACTCCACAATGAACACGAAAAAGCTACATCCCAAGCAAAGAGGAAATCTTAGTGAACTTTGCAGGCTCCCCTCCTCTGGCCAGGACGATGAAAGCTCAGACAGGTACTGCCAGGCATCAACCCCATTGTGTAACGTACCGCGTAGCCACTATCATGGTAAAACTTACTACAGCACAAGACAGACCACGTAACAGAGCAGGTCTGTGGCTAAATCCTGGGAGGTCTAGGAACACTGCGATATATTTTTTACATACTCTTTCATGCTGCCCTTGGCTTTTAGAGAGGTGTCTCTTGACCTCACTCAGAGGTCTCCGACCTCTGCTGGGGCTTGTCTGAGAGCAAGGTCTCCACGGCAGTGCCAACCGTACGGCTGGGGACAAGGAAATGAGCCCACCACCTCCCTTCACAAGCAGCACGCTTCATTTGTTTTCAAGGGCTTTTGGGCATTACCTGGGGGTTTGTTATCAGGATTTTGTTATACTCATGTAACACGAGGAGGCTCCAATCGCAACGTGGACCCGTTTAGCTTGGACTTGCCAAAACAGATGGTAAGAGGACAGTTCCTGTTCTGAAAAAAACTAAATCTAAACATACCGGACAAAGTTAGATCAAAATTAGGATGTATTACAGCTGTGTTACAGGCAGAGAGCGGAAGAATTTTGGCATCTAATTCTTATTTCAGCAATGCTCTCTGGGGATATCACCTTAAAGAAACTCACTCAGGATCACGTAAGTCTTGCAGCAGAACCTGAAGTAGGACCCAAATTTCCCAATTACAAATCCAATGTCTTAATTACACGTTCTCCCTGAAACACCTGCGTGCCCAAACACTTGTCCCCGGAGTTTCCCTATGCTTTATCCCGGAATGCCCCCATCCAGCGTGCCCTCCCCTTCCCTGAAACAGGCTCGCTGTGGTGCATGCTCTCCCGCTCGAAAATAAGAGGTGGTCTCCCAAAATAGTATTCCACAATGCAAACATCAATAAAACATGCACAATTTCAGTCTGAGGACTTTCAGCCAGTGTTCTGTTAAAAAGAGGTATGTTTTCTCATTAAAAACGACATCAAATAAACGTTAAAAACATGTCATTTCATATTTTATATGATTGGCACCATTTTTTAAAATACGGTGATTTGCAAGTTACGATTTTCAAAACGCCAGCAGGACTCTTCAGTAACAGAGTCACATAATCTTAAAAAAATGAGAGATCTGACCAATCACAGTAAGTAACAAAAGCCCTAACTATTATTTAGCTAAAAAAATAATTACTTCTTTATCCTGAGTTGGATAATTATCCAGAATTATGAGACGAAAATAATATTTAAATCTGAATTACATACATGTTAGGTCCTTGAACATAACGTGTTATACTCGAGGTTTGGTGCTCCCCCTTTGACCCGAATGTGATTCGGTTCAATGCGTATTAATCAGCCTGTATTCATTAACACACTTCTCGCTTAGCTACTTTGTTAGGAAACTCTGATCCGTTTCTGATGTGATTTGCCTGGCGCAATTGCAGTAGTATTAAGAAGATAGCTCTGCACTTTGCCACTTCGGCCGAGGCTCGTTTTACAGCCTCGTACGGAGCGACTGGGTGGTCCACGGGCTTTTTTTTTTAGTAGTGATTCACCTCTCTTTATTGCTTGGAAGTCAGAAGCAAGATATCTTATTTCCACCAGCCCTTAAAAATCAGGGGATTCAAAAATAATACAAGTTTGGCGTTTTCTGGTCTGTGGGTGGAATCACGAACCTGACGCATTTTTAACTTCAGCTATTCTGACCGAGTCTTGATGCTCACGCCAGCTGCTGCGACTGCTGCCCGGGCACTGGCAGCAGATTCAAACACAGGTTAATATTATACCCTGCCCGAGGGGGGCTGAGCACCGTGAACCCCTCAGCTTTGCAAAAATAAACCTCAAAGGAACTCCCGCTTCAAAGTCAACTAACAGGAAAACAGGTAATTTTTCAAACATGCCGACGGGTGGCTGTCCTAGCAAACGGTTTCGTGGCCGTTTTTGCACGAGGCGTATGTTATTTCATCGATGAGTCCGGCCGGCATTAAAGGGTGAAGCTTTGTCAGCTGAGCAACCGG